ATAAAACTATTTAGACTCTCCTAATACTTCAACATGTCAAATTCCACAATTGATAATAGGAAGCATTTAATGTACCTCAAGTAACATGAAATATAAACAATATAAATACAGAGCTTTACTAAAACGTTTAAACTTTACTTACATACCCAAAAGTCTTTGTACAGCTTATAGTTGAACCTTTATGTACACCCAAAAAGTACAGTCACCCCTTAATGTTCTATGGGCTCCTTTCCTTTGCCTGCAGTACAACCACTGCCAATGAGCTATGACCCAATGAAATACACAAACAATGTATAAAAATTAATAATAACATGATTATGGCACCTTTCATATGGATCATGAGAAAATATGGCAGTACTTTTCGTCTTACTAATTGTTCAACACCCTTTTTACAGATCATATGATGGTTATAAGCTTTTGCACCCCTTTCAGCTTTCAAATTCAATGTTAGGTCTAACTTCACAACTTTTAGAATTGAAGTTGTTCTCTCAATTCAGGGTTGGGTCCACATTCCCAACTTCTAGACTTGAGATTATAGGCTTACCTCGTCAAGTCTTTCGCCTTTTTACATGTGCGGGCTTATTCTCCAACATATGGCTTAATCACTTTCCTAATATCCATCCTTTTTAGTCTCATAATATATGCTATTATAAACAATACTTTATGAATAATCATAGTCATAAATAAATTGAAATAAATTGAAGAAAACTGAAATAAATGCTATCAACAATAATAGATATGAATTGCAATTAAAGAAAACATTTATTAATTTCTATAGCATTGTTAAGTATCTCACCTCGGTATCTCGATTCTTTCTTCTTTTGTATACCACCTCAATCACGCTCTTCTTCATACGATTTAGAATTCCTTTACTCTCTTTCCTTTTTTTTTTTTTTCCTCCTGAATTCAATAAACTAATTTAAGCATTCCACAATTAACTGTAGCAGCACATAACTTATGAAGAAGAGCGTGATTGAGGTGGTATACAAAAGAAGAAAGAATCGAAATACCGATGTGAGATACTTAACAATAGAGTAAAGGAATTCTAAATCGTATTTTAGTTGATTAAAAAAATACAATACAACTTTTAAAAAATGGAGGCAAAACAGAGTAATGCTGAAAAAGAAAGAGATAAGAACAAGCAAAACATGAAGTTAAATTTAGAGCATCTCCAACGGAAAATCTCATTTTTCACTCCAAAATGTCGTGAAACTGCAAAATGCTGTGATTCATCTCCAATCGAACTCCATTTTTCACCCTTTTGCAGGTAACGGTCGCCTCTTATTTCCCGCGGCGAGTTCGGTAGAGAGGTAAAAATGGCGGAGATGAACAGTGCAACGCCAATATTGACGTCCCTCTGTTCACCCGCAGCCAAATAGCAGAAATTTTGAGGTTCGGTTGGAGCTGGCTAGGAACGTCATTCAAGCGTATGCAGTTTGGTTGGAGATGCCCTAAACATGAAGTTGGACTCCGAAGAGCAAAAATAAATAGCACCTCGTCATCATAACATTTTGTGACCTTGTTGTCTTTTTTATTTTTTATTATGAATATTGTTTTTATTAAAAAAAATGATCGACTGAATTATAAATACATTGTATTTCATTTATATTATATCTATAATTTTTCTTAATTTTAAATACTTACAAATTACAATCAAACAATCTCTTAGTTATGCAAAGAGGTATCAATTTGAGTTGGCGAGCTGAATTCAGATATGATTTGAAGTTGGCCCGATTGGAATATGTTAGGCCCGAATTCAACCTATTTAACATATAGTTCAAAATAATTGATCCAAATCAAACTAGACCCAAACTGATCAAATTAGAATCCAATATATTTGACCTCTTTATAGTAAAGCTTGTGCAATATTTTTAAATCAACACGAATGTTTAACCAAATGTTACTCATTTAACCTGAAAATGACTTGTTTAACCTATACCCAACCCATTTAGCATGAATCTGAATGATTTAGCTTCAAGTTTTTGTGTAAACCAGAATCTAACTAAGGCTTCGTTTGGGACGGCTTTTTTATTACATTCTAAAACGGAGTTTTAGTACAAATTTTTTTATTTTTTAACTAAAACTCTTTCTACTAAAACTTCGTTTTAGAAAGCAATAAAAAAACCGTCCCAAACGAAGCCTAAAAAACTAATCTGATTTACATTTCAGACCCAAATCCAACACGAATAATAATTAGTTCAATCCAAACTTAAATTTACCAAGTCTGAGAATTAGGAGCATGATGATTTCATTTAACAATACTCTCAGTGGTGGAAGTAGGAAGAGCTCAGGGTGGGCAATTGTCCATCTTGAATTTTTTTTTTTTCCTTAAAAAATTAAGTATTTTAACTATTTTGACCACTTCCAATAAATGCAGCTGTCCAAATTCTATGAAAATATTTTTTTTTCTCATTTCATACATAAAAACAATCATGTTTTGCCCACTTTAAAAAAAGATATTGATTTTTTCCTGGATACTCTTAATTGTGGGGCTATTTGGTTGCATAAAAATGGAATGCAATATAAAAGAAATGCAGTGTAAAAGGAATACTTTGGATTTGTTTCGATGATTTTAAAAAGAATGCATAACATTGCTTTTTTTTTTTTTTTTGAAGTAAAGTGAATGCGAAATAAAATGCAAAAAAGGTTGTAGCTGGTGGCGACTGATGGTGGTCCACAGCGGACAGAGGTGGCGTGAAGAGGTCGAGGGGTAGTGCAGGTGGCGGCCAGATAGGTGGTCGGTCGTGGCCGACGATGGTGGTAATTTAATTATTAGTCAAAAGGACATCTACTAATAATTCATAGATGAGCTATGAAAATAGGTTTCATAAACATCGAATATGACAAAAAAGAAATCGATTGGCTAATTCCTAAACCTAACCAGTCCAATAAAGACATTTTTTTTACTTTTAGTAGGGGTGTAATTTATGACACGACCCGAACCCGTTCCGGAAAAATCCGGGTTCGGGTCAACTCGAACCCGAAACGGGTCAGGTTCAGGTTCAACAAATCAACCCGTTTTAAAAATCGGGTCGGGTTCGGGTTGACCCAGCAACCCTAAATTGACTCGAAAGTGACACGAAAAGCCGAGATTGACCTATTTTTTACCCAAAAATCGAAGATTGACCCGATTTTTTACCTGAAAACTAGCAACTTTGGGTCAACCCCGGGTCATTCGTGTCGGTTGGGTTGACCCGGAGCCGAATCGGGTCGGGTTCGGGTCCGAAAACCTGACCTGTTTTTAAAAACAGGTCGGGTTCGGGTTGACTCGAATAGTGATGGGTCAGTTCCCGGTTCGACCCGAACTCGACCCGTTGACCCGAATTAACACTCCTAACTTTTAGCCGGACAAAGTGGAGGGTTTTTAATTGCCAAGTCATTTCTGGGTTGTTGCTGTGAATAGCCATAAAAATGGTAATTAAAATGATAAACCTGTCATTAAGACCAGAATTTTTTAATCTAATTGTTAGGTTACATAAATATTAGTTATATCGAAGCATATGAAATTAAAAAAAAAAATAACTGAGGATATCTTCATATATATATTAATTTCATCAAAATACATGGCTTTATTCTTCTGCAAGAAAAAAAAAAAAAGATTTCCTACACAATAATTGAATTTAATGATTGATTAATTGGTGGATCTTTCTGCAAAATGCAAAAAAATTAACAAAATTGTTGCGAAAATTCAACTGACCATTTTTCATTTTCATAATAATATTATGTGAAGTTTTGAAGATTTAATATTTGCTCTAAAATAATTCGCTAAATAAAAATAATTACCAACCGGTCATAAATTCCTTCTTTATAAAGAGAAAGCATCATCTTGTATCATTCAAGAGTTAGGGATGTAATTATTTATAATTTAGGTTTCGTTTGGAATTTTTTTTTTTAAAAGTAATTTTTTAATTTAAAAAATTTTATTTCAAAAAAAATTTATAAAAAAATCGTTTTAGAAAATAATTAAAAAGCAGCTCCAAACGAAATCTTAATCATAGTAAAATTAAAATATATAACGAAGTACGAAGATAAAGCCACCAATTAGATAAACATCTATAAAATTATTATTTATTTTAATGCTCTCATATTCATTATATTTTCTAATTTTTTATTTAGTTTTGCATAAATTTCACATATTTTTAACAATAATTTTCATGATTCTATGGGTATGCTCAACCAGTTTTCTATTGTATCATGATTCTCATGATACTAGCTTGTAATTAATTAGGGTGTTAAAATGATAAAACCTTTCGCCGATCCCATTAATCCAATGAATTAAGGGGCTATTTGACTTGCTGAAAATGAAATATAGAGTAAAAAAATGCAAAGTAAAAAAGAATACAATGTATACGAAATATTTTTCAGCATCGCACTGGTGTGGTTGCATCCACGACCACCGATGCTTATGTTGATAATGAGCGTTGGCATTGGTGTCGACCACATTGGATTTTGTAGCGACATGAGTGACAATGGTGTATACGACGACAACATCAATATTGGTGGTGGCGAAAAGTGTCAACTTTAGTGTTTTGTCTATGATAAGCATCAACCATAGTGTTGATGACAAGTGTTGGCCTTGTTGGAAATGGCGGGCTTTGGTTAATTATTGTTAAAGAAAAAAAAAGGTAGATATGTATACATGGCAATGAAACCAATTCATCAACCTAATTCCGCCTAATTATTATAGCAAATCTAGTAATATAATTCATAAAATTGCCTCTTCATCAAATCAATCAATCAATGAGGTTGAATTATTATGTGCGGATGCCAAGCGCAGTCCAGTCATCCCCTACTCGGTACTGGATAATACGGCTGCACCTGATTCGTCTCTAGACAATAAGTTATGTTCAGTGTCCACACAGAATAATCGTTCCTCCATCAGGCTGGGACTGAGATCATAAAAACGCAAACAGCCACCTCAAATTTGTTACCTAACGATCATGCTTAAATCCAATAAGCGCACAACATCGCATAAAATAATTTTGCATATGATCACACCATAAAAAGACAACCAAACTTTTGACATTTAGCAAACACAAAAAGGACAATAGTCATTATCATGTTCAAACGTGAACACATGGAAACAATATTAGAAGGCCTAACATATATAACGTTGCATATGAGCACATCATAACATCATAAAACATGTTTATTCATACATAAAAAGTATCACCGATCTGTGCCTCAGATTTATCCTGCATTCAAAAAAAGGCTAATTATGTATTCTTTCAATTTCAAAAAGAAAATTGACAAATTATGAATTCAAAAAGCTTCAGTTTGCAGCAAGAAGGATAGTTTGTGTGGCCTATAAAGAACTTACAGTAAGGAGCAATCTTCCACCTCTGGTTCTTTCCCTTGAGCCACTCCCACAGAACAATAATGGTTCCATCACGCACTCCTCCATGCTGTTCATCTCCATTAAATGCATCAAAGTTGAGAAGAATATTGTTTACCATCCTAATGCACCGGAAACCATCGCCCAAGTCTTTGCTCTCAGTCCAAAGTACCGATACATCGGGATTACTCGGGTCGTATGGGATTAAACTAACCTGAAAAGGAAAATCATTGGTGAAGAATTAGAGGATGAAGTTCCTAGATGGGATTTTGTATAATACTTATGCTTCATTTGGGACGGCTTTCTTATTGCTTCTTAAAACAACTTTTTAGTACAAAATTTTTAATTTTTTGTACTAGAATCTGCTTCAAAAAGCAGTAAGAAAACAATCCCAAACGAAGCCGGTAGCAGATGAAAAGTCCCAAAGGTAGCAACAGATACGCCCACCAAAACAACAATAAAGAACTTACAAGGCATGCAGAATCTGCCAGTATATCAATCATTATTGATAATTAACTAAGTATATCCACTGTACAGTAGAGATAAGATTCAATGAGGCATGATCATTAGGCACATATTACAAGAACTCGCCAAAAACATAAAAATGATATAGCCTAATATTTACTGTGGAGAGTGGAAAATCTGGTAAACATGGCGGCTTAAAATTATGAAAAATATATTGTATATGAAATACAATAAGATGTGAATAAGTTGAGTATGAATGGAGCACTTACGCTTGCCCGTCAACTAAAATGTGATTCATTTCTGGGAGTCGAAAGGAGGCACTGTACTAGTAAACTAAGTAAATAACCTTTGACTTCTATACCAGGGAAAATTTTAAGCACAAATCAGTAGTAAAAAAGCAAAACGTGCTCTATATATAATCACCAAAAGATTCAAGAGGGAAGAAACATAGACAAGTTTTTCTCATGTAATTATGATTGAAACAGAAATGTTCCTTCTAAGAAAGTGATGAGTAAATATGAAAGGCAAAATAACACAAATATTCGGGCAATGTTAGAATGATGAAATACCAAAGGCCAAAGTGAGCCAAACAGAATGATTAATGAAGACCTGTCTGTTCAAAAGTTTAAACATTGTTGGTATATTAAAGACTCAATAGTTGCCAGCTCATTGCGCATTTGAAGAATCTCTCCTAAATGAGTCCTCCAAATCCATCATCACTCCTTAAATGAAATATTTTCAACACCATCAAGTATCAAGTACTAAGAGATCAATCAACAATATGTACCCTACATGGGAATCATCAGCTCTTAAACATTGCTTGACCAAGTTGTAAACCCTAAGACCCATGAGAGCCACAAATTACATGAAAATTTTAATTCTAATCGAACCATTAGCAATAATATCACTAGTTATGAGGGAGAAAAATTGGAGTGTTGTCTAAGCCCAATACAATTAATAGACACCTATCAACCTACAAGAACTTTAGGCCTTGGAGAATCAATATGGAAATATATTACTCCAATAGAGATTAGGGAAAGCATCATGGGGCTAGGGCTATTAAAAAAATGAAAGAAAGAAGTTTGAAACTTAAAATTTGACCTGACTGAAAGTCAAAAAATGACTTAAAATGAATATTTATATTAAAGTTAATATATATAACATTTAAAAATAAAAAATTATTTATATATAATTAATTAACATTAATTTTAAGTCCACTCGACTAGAAATGGTTATAATTTTGTGTCAAGTACAATTCGAGCTAGAATAAAATGCTCAATTTTGATAGTCAAACTAAATTGACCTCATCTCAATATCAATAATACAGGAGACATTCAAAGATATGCCTAAGATAAAGAGTAAAATCAAGAGAAGGAGATTGATGAAAAGGCACTCTAAAAGATCCAGCTAAGTTCGGCAATGAATTCTTAACACACCTCGAAGATAAAACAATAATCACATGGTTATGACCCAAGCTAGAGTTTGTATACTGTTAGACCGGTCCACTGGACCGGTCCAGCCGGTCCAGGCGGGACCGGCTCAGGCACGAACAGGGCGGAAGAAATTTCCGCCCGCTGGAATGCCGAGCGTGCCGCACGGCGTGCGGGAGCCAAATAGGAAAGAAATTTTGGGGAGTTAAGAGGGAAATTTGAATGTAGGGACTGTTTAGGGAATTCCTTTTGATTCTTAATGAATTTAATTTCATAGATAAGATCTAATATATATATATATGATACACCGACACTTCTCCTTAAAGAGACATGCAGTGTCCGACACGTATCCGACATGACACTCATCCGACACTCCTCCAACACGTGTAGGACACCCTGAAAACGTGTTTGATTAAAAAAATATTAAATACAAATTAGACACGCGTATCTTAGATATTTTATAATTTTTTTTACATATAATTTATTTTAGTTGGAGGGATTTAAACTAAATTTTCTTATTTCCTACACACAACACCAAATCAACGTCCGAATTTAATACCCATTCATTGAATATTCTCATTTTCATTTCTCTTTGGCGATGAAGGTATTTTCATCTCCTCTCTTGGTGACTGATAAACGGCATTGATGTCAGACTCTCGACATTCTAATACTAATCATTTTAAACACAAATTCTAGTTAAATGACTTATTATTTCTAAATTATTTTAAAATTATACATATTTAATTTTTATACACTATTTTTAAAATATAAAAATTATAATATCGTGTTCAACCCGTGTCTGTGTCCTATATTTTCAATAATTGTCATGTCTCGTGTCCGTGTCGCCGTGTCTGTGTCTGTGCATATATATATGGTAGATATGAAGATCAAGATTTTTCACTCTTTATGTTCTTTATGTCCCTCTTAAAAGTATTTTCGTAACATTATGATGCATGTTAAACATACAATCAGCTTAGAGAACTTAAAAAAATTGAAATTATACTTCTTTCTATTGATGTGGTACTTAAAGTTAAAGATGTAGATGGTGAAAAGCAGGTTGAAAGATTATTGTTCATGGTAGATCCACTAGCTAAGTATGGAAAAGTAAGTCTAATGACAGATAGAAGACACATCTTATCTATGTTTCGATAAGTGAGGTATAAAGAGACGTCAAAAAAGATGCAATCTAAAGCATAAATAAAGTGCCTGGAAAAATGTCGTTTCTTAATTGATAATTTTTTTTTCCAAGTCTAAGTGAACATCAGAAGGAGAGTTAAGAGATTTTAAAGTTTACAACTTTCTTAATAGGATCAAACTTGATTTTATGTGATATTGGTGTTGATGCATATTAATAAACTGAAAATATAAGCAAATTTTATTACAGTCATAAAAAACGAAGCAGCAAAGTTAGCAATAGAATAGCTAAGTTATACTTCAATCTTCACATCTTAAAGGTAGCGTCATTTACTATATCATGATAATAAAAATATATATTTTATCTAATATTTCACCTAAGACCATCAATGAATCAGTGTAGTAATCAATATTTTTTCAAGCAAACATCTAAATTTATATTTCATCTCGGCACATGCACTTATACAATATTCATCATCAGAAATGTTCTATCAATTTAGCATGAGCAAATCTGATGCATTTTTCATAAATCCTACAATCCTTAGCAAAAATATTTTCTAAATTAATTAAGTAGTCAAATAAGGAATTAGAATTTTGCCGACCATTAAAATTATAAACATAGGTCATATTTATATAGATGCCATCAGATTGTGAAACGTGAGAATTTCTATGTGACAGTCCCTTAAAGGGATTGAATCTAAAAATCTTTCAATATTTCTAATAAAATTATCATTAAAAGTGTTAAACCTTTTAGCTGATGTACCCCTCATCATGACGTTGTTTTGATTCTAGTTGCATGCTATAAAAAAATAGGATAATATGCTAGATGAAATGACTAACAAAATTTATGATCTCTATGAAGCATTATGTCAAGTTATTTTACTAATGATGGACGAATTAAAATAATGGCCCTGGGCTAATTTATGCAAGATGACCTTAAGAATATTAAAAAGGTAAAAGAGAGAAATGACGAAAAAAATAAGAAAATTATCAAGAGAAGCACATCTCAAGGGGACCATCTAATGAAGCACAATAGATTGCGTTTAGATTGTTCTCAATAATTTGAGATTTATTTTCATTATCTGGTTAATTTTACGTTGAATTGGGGTGGATAATTCATTTTACAATCAGACGATGGTGGAATAAAATATTTACCTTTTACTCAACAATTTCCTTTCTTCTCTCCGGTTTCTTTTCTCTCACAATATGTCTCGTGCCTCTACTCAATACCCATTGTTCACTCTACTTCTCTGAATATCTTTCTATGCCAGATTTGCCTAAGTTTGCTGCTCTAACTCTGCATCAACTTGGCATTAGAGTATCGCCCAGCAATTTGTGAGCACCGAGCACCCCAACCTAAGCTCAACATCATCCACATCATGCAACTCCACCATCTCGGGCATCTTCTCCCTTTATGCATTCTCATGCATTGTATCCCATAAATGTTGATCTTATGCATTATTTCCCACACGCACATCTTCCATCAATGCATCCAATTGCTTCTTCCCTAACCACTTCCACCTGCTTCGTCTCCCGCAACCGGCTCGATGCTTCGTCCTTTGAACAGCTCACACACTTGCCTTCATCAATGCCCATTGACTATTGATCGCATTTTTGACCCACCAACCGCTTTCCATACATTGCGCCTACACTCACTCACTCATGCCAAGTAATCTCCACCAGCGATCTCCTAGCACCACACCAACCCACAACTATCACATCCATGCCAACCAATGTCTCTCACATCCTTTTCCCTTTTTATTCCTTCCATTCAAACACTACAGACATCTAATTGCATTGCCTCATCAATTTCGCTACATAACTACTCAATTCCATTTGTATGACTAGCAAATCATCAGCATTCAAAATGGCACCCATCATGGATATCCATAAAATAATGCTGATCTATCCCAAACTGCCTGATCTTCTCAAATGAAACTGCCTCATGGCACATTACTTCAGCTTAACTAGTAAGTATTACTTTTAAAGCATAAAAAATAGAATTTTAAATATCATTTAAAATATGTGTGAAGTCATTCTTCTAAAGAATGTTTTCACCTTATATGAATTATTGGTGTGTTGTGAGGTGAAACCATTAAGGTTGAGAAAGAAATTGTAGCTATTGAATTTGCTAATCAACAACCTTCAAAAATAAAGAAAGTTATCTCCTCTTTCCTGAAGAATG